ATGACAGAGGACATAAATAACATCTGATGAATGCTAAAAAAAGAATAAAAAATACCATGCTCGCAAATGAATCCAGTAATTGGGCTCAATGCAAATTTGCCGGTCTGTCACTCGTCAGCGGCTGAGCCGGGAGTCCGTCAGAGAAACTCCGTCGGTATTGACCCGTTGAGCGACGATTCTGGTGACGGACAAAAGCCCGCTTCAGTTTGTGCGTAGTCAATCAATTTTTTAAGTTAAGTTTAAAGGGGGTCGCAACTAGATTAGATTACAAAATTGTTCAGCCCTAACTGGTGCTGGTGTGTGTATGAACAACTGGATAAGAAATCAATTTTAAAATACATTTGAATGAAAATATAGTCCATCAAAATAGTTTATTTCAATTGGGGGAAAAAATGACCCGGCTAAAAAATGTTATTTGTTTTATTTATCATGTTTTTTTTAGCAAGTTTGTCATCCTCTGTGAAACAGAAAGTCATCTAACTTCCACTGACTTTTTCAATTCTTACACCTTTCCTCATCGTTGTCATTCAGGGAGGAAAGCATCCGTGTCCGAGCCCATTCAACGCTCCAGCCATCAACGCAGCAACTCTGATGACCACGGCGCCTTCAAGGGCAAGGAGACGTCTCCAAATCCAGACAAGGACAAAACAGGCAAAAAAGCTTCCAATCCTGGCGAAGAAGCCGACAAAGAAATCATTCTAATTTAAGTTGATCACATTTAACTCCCAAAAATGAACCCTTTTTTTTGAAAATGACTCAAGGGGCAATATGAGGAATGCTTTATATTGATAAATTGTACGCCAGGAGTACAAATGACAAAATACCTGTTTACAGTTCAAACTGTAACGTGTTAATATGAATCCCTACACAAAAGGGGTGTTTTTCCGGAGTAACTTTTTCGCGCTCTTTCTGATGTCACCTACGAAACCAAACATTCACTAAGATCTTCCTTCTTCTTACAGAAACAAGCATTTATGCAGTATCCGGTCATTCAAAGTATTCCCGAGTGTTCCGACAATTATAGTGCGAGCTGACCAATTAAAAGCACAAAAAAAAAAAAAAAGGCATGAACATGCTTTCAGTGGAAAGAGTACGTAAGCGTTAGCTGAAAATGGAGGCTGTGAAATGATTTAGTAATGGTCTCGTGCTATTTCTCGCAGAAGCTTTTCTCGCAGGGACCACACTTAAAGGAATACCACTTCTCACTCTACTTGAAGTCTAATATAATACTAGACGCAATGGCATTTTCGTTAGTTGCCAACAGTTTTTCTAAATGCTTGAATCCGTTTGTGCAAGTCTTTTTTCTTTTTTTTCCCCCCCTGAATCCATTATGCAACTCATCTTTTTTACAGGACAATGCAGGTTAAAGCTGAGCATCTCGGCACCCACAAATCACACTAATGTAGCTTACTTGTACTGAACAATCTCCACCCCGCTGGTCCCCACTGGTGATTAACCTTTGCACACTGTGCGGTACACTTTAGCTTTGAATCAACGAAGGCTTCAGCACTGTTAACGAACAAGCATTCGCATACTTTGGATGGAACAAATTAATCATCTTGTTACCCTTTAACTTGCCGGGGGTGTCTCTCTGTCTTTGTGTGGATAGAAAATGTAGTCACGTGACTTATCGTTTCATGACGTTTGAAGCTAGAATACAAAGCTGTTGTGTTGCATGCCACTTTTTGTCCCGGTGTCCTTCTGACTTTTGAGTTCAAAACACATGGTGACGCATTCTATTGAAACACATCTGTATCCCTCAGAAACGCTGCACAGTCAGGGCTTTGAAACTGAAGTGATTTTTGTCCAAAAAGGATCTTGGAATGAACTGTTTGTGTGTTTGTTTACCTTGGAGCTCTTGCATTGCTTTTGGATGCTTACCTTAACAGCACAAAACATCTTGAAGAGCAACAAGCACGAGTTGTACGCGGCTTAAACAGCCTGACCACCGCGACTTGTCAATGCATGCCCTGCAAAATGCGGTGGAAGGGAAACTTGAGATCCAGTTTGGATCGCTACAGCTCGCAGACTAAAGAGTGAGACTAAACCGACGGGGGTTGAAGCACAAGTGTCAAACGAGGGCCAAAATCACTTTTTTGTAGAATGTCTTCTTAACTCGAATCATGCAAATAACAGTTCCTGTTGTAAATAATTCCACCAGCCTGATCCCAATTTAATTTATTATTATTTTTTTTCCTCTGAAAAGATGTTAGTTAGGTCACAGGTGCACAAGTTTGGTGCAGCTGGCTGTGACTTTGACAAAATAACCGTTGACTCGAATGAGTTACTTTATGTGTGTGTGAGTGCATGACATGCATTGTACTGTAAAAATGTATGTCTGTCCCTCCAAGCCTACAGGTGTGTATGTGTAATACATACACGTAATGTGTACACTGTGACTTTTTTTTGTTTGTTTTTGCACATGCAGTTTTTTTTTTTTTTTAGGTACGCTGCATGTAACCTTTGAAATTAACGTCCACAACATTCTCTCTCACGTGTACATTTTGTTTATAAATCCACTTCATTTATGCGTTTGGTATTACACGTATTAAATCTTAACATATATGTCATGATTTAAACAAAAAAAAAAAGTAGTGATGCAGAATTGTCACATCAATACTGAAGACATATTTGCACATCTTAGGGCTGATTTTGTTTGGGGATCCAGTCATTGTGTTGTTTTCATACTATCGTTCTGCTGGTGTCTATGTGAATATTAACATTGATTAAAATCATTTTACAGGCTTTGGAATGTATTGTGTTTTTCACACATGAAGGGAATTTTCAGTCGAACCTCCAAAGAATCACTTTTTCCCCCCATAGGAAATAATGTAAGGAATTCATTTGTTCCTACCTCAGACCTCGTAAACTCAACAGCACAGACGAATGTAACCCAAAAAAAAAAAATCTGACATAATTAAATGTTTATTGTAGATGTATGTTATTCTACTTGACCTTCAAAAGTGTTGTGTTTTGGTCTTGATACTCTCTAATAATCAATAATGCCTCGGTTGATGTGGTCTTGACTACAACACTACTTCGATCAGTCAGCTATCTTTTCATTATGGTTATTTTGTTAGTATGGATGACAAAGAGTAATTCAAAGCTCAATTATTAGTGAATGTTTAGTTAGCAGTTTATTGTTTTAGTCCTCCGGTGACATGACTATTGCATTTGAGAGCAGCGACATGGTAAATGGCACTGTGACTTGTATATCTCTTTTCTACCTCAGGTACTCAAAGCGCTTGACAATCACCTCATTCACCTAACTGACACCGCAATATTCAGTATCATGCTCAAGGACACTCCCAATGCGGGGCGGGGATCAAACCACCAAACTGTGTTGGAAAACATTGTGTCTACAAGTAAGACGATTGGCTGTGTTAGCTAAAAACAAAAAAAAAAACTGGAAAACGTTTAATTGATATACATTTGGACATATACCATAACAGATCCAAAATGTTATTTCACTGTTCGGAAAAGCATGTCATTATACATTCAATATGCGGATCTTTCTAAACTGGGAATCAGCTACACCCAGTCAAATATTCTGTGTCCCCCAAATAGTTCTTACCTCTTTGTCGTGTCTGTGGAGAATTTGGCACCGGTGAAGTGGAGGAGAAGAGGGGCATAGAAGAAGAGCGGCGCAATGTAGGCTACGAAAGTGTACCCCAAGCATCCATAGCTCAGATTTGAAGGCTGGGTTCGAGGGTCACATCAACTTTTTGGCAAGGCACATCAGCTCTGCGTTCACAAATGCAAACATGAAGGAAGCATACCAAGAAAAGAACACTGTCCCTACTCTGAAACGTGGAGGAGTCTCTGTTGCATTTTGGAGCTGCTCTGCGATGCAGGGTACGCTGATCTTGCAACAGGATAATGACACCGAACAGACTGCTGAAACCACACAAGAATAGCTAAGAGCAAACCTTTGGGCTACTCACGAAGTGAGTTTTCCAGAAGATCTGCTCTACCGTTCTATTGGATCTGTGGAAGGAACTGAAAACATGCCGTCTGGAGAAAGCAGCCTTCAGACCTGAGACAACGGAAGCAGTTTGCTCATGAAGAATGGACCAAATCAACTGCTGAGACATCCAGAAGTCTTAGATACAAAGATCCATTGATTGCCTCAAAAAGGATGTGCAACAAAATATTCATTCACTTCCAAAGACATATTTACAGTGATCCCTCGCTATTTCGTGGTTCGTTTATCGCGGCTTCAGTGCATCACGGATTTTTTCAAACATTCATAAAAAAAAATAAAAAAAAAACTCATACATGGAGTACAGTACTGTATATGTTGCTCTATATGACTCGCTGTTGTTTTGCTGACTTTCGCAGCTTCTCGCGGACCGTTTGCGGACTTTAAAAAAAAAAAAAATTATGTTTAATTGGTCGCTACTTCGCGGATTTTCATTTATCGCGGGTGGTTTTGGTCCCCATTAACCGTGATTAACGAGGGATTATTGTATATGTCTTTTCGGATTGAAGACATTCGATCCCATGTACTTTTTTCCTAGCTTTTTTTTCCCCAAGACTGAAAGTCATTTTTTTTAAACGGGTCTGAAAATGGCTGGTACGGTACTGAATGAGTTTTAAGGACTTTTTTTTTCTTTTTCTTTTTTTTTTTTTAATGGGTCTGAAAATGGCTGGTACTGAATGAGTTAAGGGTCCCACGCATCATTTTTGACCGGGCCTGTTTCATGAGTTCATTATTTTATTTTTTTATTTTAATAATTCTTCTGAACCACAATTCAAAAGCAGTGTCTGCTTTTCATGATATTATTTTCTATTTATTACCTCTGTCAGATTCAAGTTATTCCTAAAACCACTGTGACTTATTTATTTTATTAGCAGAGGCACCAGTTTTGTCCACGTGCAGTTGTGCTTTTCAAATGCACAACCAGCAGATGGCGTTAACAACTCATGAGAAGTGTGTGTGCCTCTGTTGTCTCGGGTTCCCACTTGCAGAAGGGGTGTGGTTTCTGCGTCGGACATAGATCATTCAAGCAAGAGTTTAAAAGACAACGTGCTCTTGCCGCAGGAGTCTTTCCGGCTAAAAAGTGTCACAATGGACAGTGCCTTTGACAAGCTGGACGCTGCTGGTTTCTTGGAAATCTGGCAGCACTTTGATGCAGATGGTAAGTGGAATGAGTCACATATGTTCATCTCCAAACAGCTGTTAAAAAGTGATGGATTCTTCTTATGTATTTTGTGAGGAAAAGTTCCATCGTGCGATTTCAAATGTTCCAGGTTTTGTGTGCGTGTGTGTGCAAAATATCCGGAAAGTCATGTTGTTTGTTTTTTGTTTGAATTTGAACAGATGGCAGGTTGTTATATTGTTATTCCATGTTGTACAGTACAGTCACTGATGCAAATAGGCTGGAAAAAAGTAGTAATGCATTGACTTCTTAATAATGTAAAATAAAACAATAAAGTGCTAACATGTTTTTTTGGTTTGTTTTTGTTTTTTTGTCAGACAACGGCTACATTGAGGGCAAGGAGCTGGATGAGTTTTTCCGTCACATGATGAAGAGACTAGGACCAAAGGTTAGTCTACTTGATATTCTGAATTCCACCTGTGATGACAACACTTCACCTGATTACGCACACCATTCATCATTTCGTCACTCATCTCATTGACCGATGAATGCACATGATGCATGACTCAGCAATGAATTTGGAAATGCTCTGCAGTTTCTGCACATGGTTACGGTCATGTTATGTCGAGATTGGTGATGTCACTTTAGCTTCATACTTGGTAAATTACTAGCTGCCAGTCATAATGAATGTATCTGCAAAGTGCGAGCGCGTTTGACATGGTCACAAATGGGATTGTATTAAACAGACCGCATGTGCTTGGTTGCTTTCTACCGTAAAAGCCTCAAGGATAAGTGCACTCTTTCGTTATGTAGCTTCTGATAAACACACAAAGCTCTTGTTATTTATTTATTTATTTTGAGTCAGAATCATATGCATAATCATATGAGCCATCACCTTCCAGTGGTGGAGGGGTTTGTGTGTCCCAATGATCCTAGGAGCAAAGTGGTCTGGGGCTTTACGCCCCTGGCAGGGTCACCTGTGGCAAACAGATTCTAGGTGAGGGACCAGACAAGGCACGGCTCACAGACCCCTTATGATGGATGACAAAATTGGGGGTGGTGCTCGCTGGCGAGCGACTGGTGCGCTCACCAACAATGAGAGGGCCCAAAGGGGTCAGGTGCGAAGTGAGCTGGGCAGTGGCCAAAGGTGGATCCCCGGCTACAGAAGCTCGCTACGAGATTCGCCCTGAGTTCCTCAAGACTCTGAATGTTGTGGGGCTGTCCTGATTGAAGAGCCTCTGTAACGTCGCATGGCTATCGCAGAGTGATACGGACTTGTCGTGGTGAAGATGGAGCTGAGCCAATAGGCGAAGCTCTCGATTTACCGATCAATCTACGTTCTTGCCCTCACCTATGTTCACAAACTATGGGTCGTGACCGAAAAAAACGAGATCCCGGATACAAGTGGCCAAAATGAGATTCCTCCGCGCTGTGTCCGGGCTCTCCCTGAGAGTTAAGGTGAGAAACTCGGTCATCCGATAGGGACTCAGAGTTGAGCCGCTTCTCCTCCACATCGAGAGGAGCCAGATGAGGTGGTTCCGACACGTGATTGGGATGCCTCCTGGACGCCTCCCTGGAGAGGTGTTCCGGGCCTGTCTCACCGGCAGGAGGCCCGGGGAAGACCCATTACATGCTGGAGAGCTGGAAGAAGTGGCTGGGGGAGGGAAGTCTGGGCTTCCCTGCTAAAGCTGTTGCCCGCGCGACCCAACCCCACGCTAAAGAATGGATGGATGGATGAATCATAGACACACACTGGACGTTTCAATAGGTACGCCTGCATAATCGAAGTCAGTGATTCCTAACTAGCGTGCCATGAGAGCTCATTATGGGTGCCGGAGGAAATTTTTATATATTTTTTAATTACATCGTAATTAATCTTTCTAATCTTTCCGCTGATACAACAGAATAAGTCGTTCTGTGAATCTACCAGCTTTGTGTTCAACTAAAAAAGGCCCAGTATCACAAATCAATTTCTGAGCAAACTGAGACAAGATGCTCTGCTCTGCACTCTCCTCTTTCGCCCCCTCCACAGATTTTCAATGGGGTTGATTTCGGGGGCCTGAGATGGCCATGGGAGGAACTTGATTTTGTGTCTGGTGAACCATTCCTACAATTTTCAGTCTGAGAGTATGCGCCTGCAATAATAATGTTATTTTTGCAGACATTAAACTCTTCTGAACCCGAGGTGTCAATATTTATGGAGGGTACTGCATATAGGCTATGGTATGCTGTTGTTATATTTTTACCACATGAGCCAATTTGATCCAGTTTAATAGTTGTGAAATTTGTGCATAGGCATAATCTCTCTTAAACAGATGGTATCTCATTATGGTACAGGTGTACATATTGTTATGGGCAGTGAGTATACATCAAAAGAATTTTCCAAGATGACGCGCTTATAACAAAATGGAGACCTGCAAGCGTGAGACGTGCCCCCGTCTCCCATGAAGGTCCATGTTCAGTCTGAGAGGTGGAAAAGGTTTGCCTAGCAACAACAAATGGTTCCGGACACAAGAATGATGCTGAAGACAAACACTGGCCTTTCGCTAATGGATCTGGCGCGGGCATGCTCTTCTGCAGTCTGTGTGTTCTCCCTTTGGAAAGTCATGTTTCCACTCATGCATTTCCATTGTTATTTGCTTCAATTGTTTAAACAAAAAAATAAGCTCTTGGTATTTTATTTTATCTGTGGTTCCAAATGTGGCCCTTCACTGAATCAAATGGTCGATTGAATTTACTCAGTTTTATTTTGTCAAGTGGTCAAACACAATAGAATAATTTAGATACATTTTTAAAGTAGAAGTATGGTCTACTTACAAATATATTGATGGATCCAGATGAATTTATTTTATGCAACCACTTGAAAAAATGAAATTGTCGAAACTCAAAACACCATTTTCTTGTGGTCTCCATTAGGTACAAAATGTGTCATTCTTATGTTGTCAGTCAGCCACCAATGTCACTGTGATTTTTTTCTCCACCCCCAGTATGCAAGAGGGAGACATTGAGAAAAAAATTGCATCCTTGAGGCTGCAGCACAAAAAAAGTCCTGGTACACGTTTGTACCTTCTAGTGGTAAAATTGCTTGTCGCCATCTGAAGTAATACATTCATACATTTCATTAGGGACCATCAAAATGTTATGGGAAGCATTTCAACTTTGGATATCTGAAAAGGATGAGGAAAAATGAAGACAGTGAATATTGTACAATGCAGCAAAACAACAAACAGGAAATGTTTAACACATGCATAGATGCAGATTTAGAAAATGTCACCCACCGATATTAGTAGGAGGCGGAACGGCAGTCAACTGGTTAGCACGTCTGCCTCACAGTGCAGAGGTCGTGGGTTCGATCCCGGCTCCGGCCTTCCTGTTTGGAGTTTGCATGTTCTCCTTGTGCCGATACTTTGTCATATCAATCGTATGTTTGCTCTGCATGGTTGTATTGTATTGTACTTTATCTTCAGTCTACTTATATATGTTTTTCTGATTTGGAATAAGGTGAACATACATCAATATTTATTCATATCGGCTCATATGGAGTACTTACATTGTGATATATTTTTCAGCTGTACGGACAATGACTTTCCAACTTCATTAACAGTTTTATTAACAGTTGACCCGGTATTATTCTGCACTTTGATTTATTTTGAACAAAGACGACCACTCAGGGAGTTGTCAGTTTCATTTTGCACTTTTGTTGAATTTTTACAAGTGGATCCAAAATCAAAATGAGTTGTTGGTGTTTTATTTTGAACTTAAATTCTGTATTGCTGAGTCAGTGATCTGCCTTTCATCAGAAATAAATGAAAGTTCTTTGTTTTGAAGCATGATTGACGCAAACATCAAATATCACGATTATGGCTCGCTGATGTCCACAGCTGCTCACTTAAAACACACTAAACAACAAATGAAAACTTTTAATCACATCTACTCTATGAAAACATTTTTTGTGACACAGGAAGTCATGCTAGTAGTCTTCAGCCTCACTGCTAAGGATGTTCGGATGAATACTCATTGACTTGAATTGAATTGAATACAACTTTATTGTCAATTGTCAATCTCATGTGCGTCCTTGCAGGAGAAAGTGACTGAAGAGCGGGTCCAGAGGCTGAAGCAGAGGTTCATGTCCGCCTACGACGTCTCCGCTGACGGCAAACTGCAGATCCAGGAGGTAGTACGCCATTTTGTTTATTTGCACCGAGCTAACTAGACGAGCACTCGGCATAGTGAAAGAACCAAACGTGGTCCACCAAATATCACGTTTTGGTTTGACTGCAGTTTCTGCAGTTCTACAAATGTGACTGACTCCCACCAAAGAATGAGGAAGTCAATGACAATGAATGGCCTTTATTGTGAAGTCGCACACAAGCAAGACATGAGTGAAAGCATAATGCAAGTCATCATGAACAAGACTAAAAATGAGGGAAAAAAGAAACATTTGGATTTTCATGGTCGCTTGGTGCCTGTCCTCTCCATAGAGTTTCAAGGAAAGTGGCACGTGTCTTTTATGTGCCGTGTGTGGCCCTGTGCTTGGTGGAGGCAATAATTCATGTTCAATAATATGGATTGCGAGATTTTCTCTCGCCACCAGTTCATCTCTTACTTCTGTGCACGCTGCACATGACCAGAAAAGCAAACATTCAGCTGTTCTTTGTTTTTTTTTTCCCTCTCTGACCAATTAAAAGCATTGATGGCATACTTTTGTCTGACAATAATCCACTCCCGCTCTCCTCCTCCGCTGCTGCATTTGAACTTGTGTCTTTTATTTAATTCATGTTTCCAAGACACAGCTTTAATTCTGTTAAGTCTGTTCCAGAGGCACCAATTCCCTGTCAAGTACTGTTCAAATATCAAATTAATTCTCAAAGGGAGCCTTTTTCATGTAATCAAATTTCCCCTTCACTGACAACTGAGATTTCAAGTCACCGTTTGAAGATGTCCGTATCTTCCAGGCTCCACTTAAAGCATAACCAGTTGAACTTGGGTCCGTCCTTTGTGCGTATTTGACGCATACACGCCCTGAAATGTTCCAGTTTGACTTGATTTAGTCGAGGACAGTCAGGCCTTCCCTGCTGGTTTCAAGACCAACGGAAGCATTGACCTACAAATACAGCCTAAATTCTAATATTTGTCCCATTAAATTGTATGAATTTATTCCCAAGAGTCTATTCTCTTCATTTTGTCGCATTTATAGATGAGGATTTTTTTTGTTTTTTTTTTTTGTCCAATCAGATTTCAGCTTTTACGTGCTGGCATGTAAATTTGCTGGCTGACACTTACACTCTACACTGACACTGATGATGTTAAGCAATTAAGATGTGGATTCAGTTGAGTCAGTCTCCCGAAAGGCCAACATCTCAAAATAGGTCTTTTTCTCGGCTTCAAGTGGCTCTTTTTCCATCGAGCGTTATTAGCAGCACATACAGAATTAGGAAGAAAATGAGCAGATCAATCAGGGAGCTGCTGCATCCTCTCTGATAGGCCATGTGTTAAAGAGTGGCCATTTGGCACGCACGATGGTGCATTGCGTTTGTTTCCGAGTCAACCTCTAGCTGCAGTGTGGGACACTATTTCAGTGAGATCGATGTCAGCGAGCATGGTTTAATCTACTAATGGACATACAGTAATGTTATTAAAGGACTGACGGAAAGACTGAGAGGGAGGTGAGCCGGTCCAAACACGCATTTGTATTCCCTTGCTGGTGTCTACACTCTTATGAATTCAATAAGTGGAGACGGATAGGAGCTGACTCTATTTTTCCATCTTCGAATAGTTCCTGCATTGGAACGCTTTATCCGCCAGATATCTTTGGAATGAAAATCAAAATTGAACAATGACTTTGTTTGGTCGCGTAAGTAGAATCACTATTCCTCAATTGCGGCCTTCGTTTTACAGTTGGCTCACATGATCCTCCCTGAGACGGAGAACTTCCTGTTGATCTTCCACAGGGAAGCTTCCCTTGACAACAGTGTCGACTTCATGCAGGTGAAATCACTCGCTATTATTTCGGTTGTAAATTGTTTTGTGCAGGGTTTAAGTGCGTGTTTTATAAGGCGGTGACGGAAGCCCTTAAGCAAGCAAGGAACCATAATTGGTCAATGAAAGTGGTGTTCAGTACCTTCTCATTTAGGAATTATTTTCGTTAAAGTTGCGTAAAACAACCCTCAAGCATACTGTCACTTGAATGATCTTTTTTTCAGTTCTAGTGTATTATAATCGACTTCATGCAGGTGAAATCACTCGCTATTATTACAGTTATAAATTGTTTTGTGCGGGGTTTAAGTGCGTGTTTTATAAGGCGGTGACGGAAGCCCTTGAGCAAGCAAGGAACCATAATTGGTCAACGAAAGCGGTGTTCAGTACCTTCTCATTTCGTAATTATTTTCGTTAAAGTTGCGTAAAACATCCCTCGAGCATACTGTCACTTGAATGATTTTTTTTCAGTTCTAGTATATTATAACGGTTAAGCTTTTTCACTCTTCTCACAAATAAACCTTGCTCCACGGATGCCATCGATCAACCGCTGCAGACCTGGAGGAAATATGACGTGGACTGCAGCGGCTACATTTCAGCTCAGGAACTGAAGGTAACAAACAAAAGCTCAAACAAAAACCGACGCCAAGCAGAAACGGATTTCTTTGGGAAGGGGGATGTAAAAGCGTCAACCGTTATTTCCTCTCCTTCCCCTTTCACGTCGACGTGGTGGTCCTTTGTAACCATTTGTGAAAGATTTTACCAATGAATGCTTGGGAGGACTTGAAAAGTTCATTTGAAATCTCACTTTTCTCTCTCTTATGGTGAGCCTCTGTGTAAAAACATACCTAAAAAAAAAAAACGCATTGACTCATGCAGTATGTGAAGTGTTCGCTGCCATGGTAACCCAACACACAATTTTTTAATTCAACATCTTATGCGATCCAATATGAGCACTGCATCAAACATATGTGCCTTTGCAAATGTCATTAGAAACAATTCACAATGTAATCTTTCCAAGTGCTCAGTCCCCAATCAGAATTTTCAAGGGGACATATTCAAATCCATCAAGTGTGAAACGATTATACAAACAAGGAAATCTTTTGGGACAGAATTGTAGAATTTGGTCTCCACAAAACATGATCAACCAAACTAAAGCGAGCATCACCTTCTCTGTGGCGCCTCAGGGTCTCTCCAAGTCTTCCACAATACCACAAAAAGTTGTTAAATAAAGAAACAAAGAAAGGGTCAATATAGCACAATAAAAGTTACAGAGTAGCTGCCCAGTTCATTGCATGCCTGAACTCCATCCTGGTTGTCATGGGGACAAAAGCTGTGAAAAAAAAAGTAATTGGAACTACAGTATTGTGTGACATGTAGGCTGGCTGTAATTCCTACTTTGTGTATTTTTGATTTTGTTGAATATCAGCTATTTTTTTTTTTTGTAAATTAAGTCACAGGACCTGTTAGTTTGTGAAAAAAGATACACTAAAGAATACACGGGCTTGCAATGTATACACAAAAAATAATCCCAGTTGAAAAATGTTTTTTTTCCATCACTATAATTCCACATATCGATGGAGTCAAAATAAATAATTATGGCTTTATTTTTATATGCTTCTTCAAGATGGAGAATTTTGAAGCAATATAACACATTACACACTATTACTAAAAAAAGCATTACAATAGATCTCAATATGACTTTGTTGCTTAAAGGCCACCGTACTTGTTGAGATCAACAGTGTTTTTTAAATGTACTTTATATACTTGTGGCATTTTTGGGGGGTCTTGTCTCAATAAAGGTTGGGAAACACCGCTCTAGCCAACTAGCATGTGTTTTTTGCCAGATGATTAGAATCTATCTATCGATCAATCTATCGATCAATCTATCTATCGATCAATCTATCTATCTATCTAGCTATCTATCTATCAATCTATTTATCTATCTATCATGAAAAATATATATTTATTTCAAACACAATGACTGAACAGGATGACAGTGATATGTTATGACAATGTTTTCTTCAAATAGGATCTTGGCTTTAGAAGAGAATTTTCTGCTGCAGTTCCAGTTGGACGTATGTGTCACATTTTGCCTCGTAAAAAAATAAATAAATAAAATAACATCTAAGTCCATCAATCTCATTCATTTAATTCAATTCTGTTGTTCCCATTTGAAGCATTCTAAGAAATTCTGTTCTATTCTGTAGGCCGGCAGCCAAGCGGAGAGGAAGCGAGATTTTGAGAAGATTTTTGATCATTATGACATAGTAAGTATGATTAGGTTTCAATAGTGGGTGTCAATAACATTTCAAATAGGTCATAAAAAGCTTCTGATGCCTTGGCTCCATTGCTGCTTGACCACAAGAAGCGTTTCCATAGATCTTGTCACAGTGTTCTTTATTGATGCAGCACCCTCCTCTTTAATTATTCATGTGTTCCATTTTTAAATATAAAACGCTATGCATGGTGCGATGCTGCTTATTAGAGGGCTGAGTCTCCTAGCCAAAGCTCATTAATTAAATAAAATACCCATTAGGTTGACAGATAACGTTTTGGTATAACAAGGTAATTACCAGGACTGAGACAACTTCTACTGTATTCCTCTGCACAAAGATGAGAATTTAGATGTACGTACATGTCAATGAATGGCCAGTGTGGACGTTTTTAAACTTTTCTGAGTGATGGAAGTAGCTATAAAGCTTGCAAAGTGATAACCACTAAGTCTTAATCATTGATTTCATGTCTTACTTTACAGTGCGCTTAAACTCTAAAGTCTTGAAAAACTCTGTCATGCATGACATCAGCATATTGCACGAGATCTTAGTTCAGCGAATGTCATTGGATTCATTATTGGCATGCGAAGGGATTTTTTTTTTTGTGTGTGACTTTTTTAGAATACGTCTTCTTAACTATTAATTGGATGATGTCCCACATGATATCACCTTAGCTCGCCGAAGCTCAAGGCTAGGTGCCTTTTCTTGCATTTTGTGTGTTTATCCGGACCTAAGAAGCAGGGGAAAATACACTGTAAGTTAGATCTCATAACCAAAGTCCCATTCAAAAAGCAGTCAGCAAATCTATCCTGATGGGGCCTAAGTTGAAGCGCCGATCACCAAACAACATGGTCATCGGAATAATAAGCTCTGTGAGTTATAGAAACATTTATGCACCATGTACGCGGCAACCTGGTCAACTCTCAATTTGCGCCGTCTCCTAAGCATTCCGTTTTGAGCACATTGTACAAATTAAATTACTTGTATTGGATTTATTAAAAAGTGAATGCAAAAAAAAAAACATGTTCCTTCAAAGTAGCCAAATGGTGAGCCGCACAAACGCCGCGCTTGATAACTTCCAGTTAAGTTCACAAAATGTGTTATATTATCAAAAAGGATCCATATGGAATTCGCGTCTCGTGAAAACGCCATGATCCAGAAATTAGGGCCACCCTTAGACTTTGCATCACGCCTCCTTGATAGTCATCTGCAGGTTTCGCATGGTAGATGTGTCAGAACAATGCAATGGAGAATTGCGGCATCTCAGAAGTGCGCAAGAAATAAAAGGCATGGAAGGAATTGACTTAAGTGCAAACAGGAGAATATGCCCCTGAATAGTATGCTGGCAAATAACAGTTGTCAAGATGCCATTTCCTTGCTTGAGTTGGATATGCTTTAGCATTGGAATTACAAACATGTTACTCGACGGGATATTCAATTAAGTCAACTGAATTGATTCAAATGACTGGACCAACTTGAGAGTCAAAATGTCTGAGATATCCTGTGAAGAATAATACAGAGGCAATATTTGTTTTTCATTAACCCCCCCCTTCCCCCTTCCCCCACACTTCAATTTTAGAGCAAGACAGGAGCATTGGAGGGCGCCGAGGTGGATGGCTTTGTTAAAGATATGATGGAACTGGTCAGGGTAAGAATGCATTAAATCACGTCAGAGCAGCACCATTTCATCTTATATCATCTTTTTGCAGTAGTAAAAATTGGTGTAGAGCTATTAATAAGAATTTTATATCTATACTAGAAGTCAAAACCAATGGGATTTTACAGAATGATGCCTTAGGAGTCACTTTTGTATGTATTTTAAGGACCGGTAATGATGTTTGCTTTGCTACTTTCACACTGATCTGAATTGCGTGGCCCTCAGCCCAACCTCACAGGTCCCGATCTAAACAAGCTACGAGCCATTTTGTTGCGTCACTGTGATGTCAACAAGGATGGGAAGATTCAGAAAAACGAGCTCTCGCTGTGCCTGGGGGTGAAGCACGCGCCTTAGCTGCAACGCTGGAGCTTTGTGTTGTCATGTTAGATTTTCAAAGCATGAATGTCATCTATGTGAAGCAGAGAATGATCATGTGGTTCATGTGGAAACTTGGTCAAACATTGAAGGGTCTCTTTTACGTAATAACGATAAACACACACACACACACACACACACACACACGCACACACACACACACGCACACACACACACACATTGTGATATTGTGTAATTTTAAAAAATGGTGTATTGTGCATGTTAAAAGACAAATTACATTAGGCTTTGGAATTCATTGTCACCACAATGTCTGTTTTTCATTCTTGGTAAAAAAAAGAAATAAAAGTTAACTGAGGCATTTTAATATTGCTTAAAATGAAAACAAAGAATCAAGACTTGTATTTTGGTCGACCACATGCACGTGGTAAGCAGCTTTTATTTGTTTCTGTTCATGATTGTCGTGTCCATGAGTTAATGCATAAAATAAAGGCAAAAAATGAATACACAGGATTGATACCGTTGTTCATTTATTTCACAAATAAGTAGGCTCAGCGGCTTCTAAAAATGGAAGCTGACGATGGAATTGATAAGGTTGATACAAAAAGGTAGAAACAAAAAAACACACTGAGGAAGACAGTCACACATTGTTTTAAAGTGCTCTATGAATACAGTTGAGTTGACTTGAGTTGAGAAACGACAATCAGTCACACTCACAGTCACACCTCGAGACAATATACCGGTAGCGTGTTCAATTAACCTGCCATGCATGTTGTTGGAATGTGGGAGGAAACTGGAGCATCCGGAGAAAACCCACGCAGGCACGAGGAGAACATGCAAACTCCACACAGGGAGGCCCGCGCCCAGGATTGAACCCATGACCTCTGCACTGTGATGTGAAAGTGCTAACCAGGCAAGTCTCAACATTCCAAATATCCATATTTTTGTCTTTTACTGTTGACGATATTTATTGTCACAACCTGTATGTTCCTTGCCTAATATTGTGCAGTGTGTGGCGGCCCAACAGAGGAAAGTCTGGATTGATTGGACGATGAGGCTGGTTCTCATTCACTTGGAATGGACCCATACATTATCTCTCAGTCTGAGAAGATTTGCACATTGAAAAATCCCTTCTGAGTGATCATACATCATGAGTCCAACTGGCTGGTTTGTTTGTCCAGAGCTCCTACTGTCACTAAAAGGAGGTAATGGGGTGGATGTAAAAGCTTGAGTGCCCTGTTTTGCCCCAGAGAATTGCACCTGTGTTGTTTGAATGTGTGTGCTTGGTTGAGGATACTTTTCATGAGATATCCTGTAGGGTCCATTTTTCTTATCGATCGCATGGAGCTAATTTGTAGATGACTGCAGGGCCAGAGAGAACTGAGTGTAGTTATCAAAAACAGACATTGCATATTATGAGTTTGTGTACATATACCGGTAATGTCATATTGTCAGTATGTGTGTGTACAGTGAATGTGTGTGTGTGCGTGTGTATTTGAGAGGGCCAAGTAGCTGCCGAACAGCTGCTCCAGAACAAACACGTTCCCATTTAGAGAGCTTCGGTTTTTATTGGACCATAATCCTCATGTCCACTCGCTGTTCAACACGTCTAATGGAACACAAAGAAATCCCAGAGGAAGCCGGTTGGATGCTAAGCCTCGGTCTGTCATTACTCATAGAGATGATGCTTGTTATGATCTTGCAAGCAAAAAAAAAAAAAAAAAAGGTTCCATCTTGCCACCCCACCCCATGGACCAGAGATTTTTGTCACATAGTGAACATAGTAAAGATCCAGTCCATGCTATGAATTCTCTTGTCTCATCAATTTTGGAGGGATGGTCAGTACTTGATAAAGTCACTGTTGTGCCACATTTTCCCCATCCACATTTGAGGATGACTGTGCTTGTTGTGTTCCATTATATATTTGATAACTTTTTTTCCCTTTTTTTCCCTTCTTCTGTCAAGTACCTCTGACCAATGAGATCCCTGTGAGCCCCTGGAAGTCCTCCTCGGACCATGGTTTGTGCTTTAAGATGGGACTAGAAAAAAGGGGGTGGGGGAAAGCCTACTAGAACACCAGAACTTTATTTGGTGTTGTGAATCAGAGGCATTTTAAAAGGTGGCAGTCGTATGCTGAGTGATTTTGAAAGAAACATGACCACATCCCCAGTTATAAGAGGCTTTGCAAACTTTTGCAACATACTCTTCAATCTTCCTCTTGAAAATCGTACGTTTTCGTCAAGAAACAACTTTTGCGATTATTTTTCTTAGTTAAATTATTTTACATACTGTATGACAAAAACCTGGGATGACTGAGGTGTCTGTATTTCTTATTTCCACTGTACACAACAATCATTGGGTACTATTGAGTACATGTCATATAATGATGGAATGAGTATACATTTATTTGGTGTTCATGGTCATTCCAATGCTCTGAATGAAACCGTAAGTAAAAATGAGTTTGACACCCCTTGATCTAAGGGTTAATTCCACAACATTTGTTCTTTTTCTGTCGCTTTTTTTTATGATGATTGTGTGATTGAAACGTGGGAAAGTGATGATAGCCTTTGGAAATACAGTAGAAATGTTTTACTGCACAGCAGCTAACTTCTTTTTCTACTTTCATCCTAGTAAAGTGTATTAATTCAAACATTGCCTGTACATGTAACAAAAAGCCTTCCAATGTAACAATCATAATAATAATAATAATAGGGCGGTCCAGTGGTTAGCGCGTCGACTTCACAGTGCAGAGGTGCAGGGTTCAATTCCAGCTCCGTCCTCCCTGTGTGGAGTTTGCATGTTCTCCCCGGGCCTGCGTGGGTTTTCTCCGGGTACTCCGGTTTCCTCCCACATTCCAAAAACATGCATGGCAGGAGGTTGATGGAACACTCTCAATTGCCCCGAGGTGTGGTTGTGAGCATGAATGGTTGTTTGTCAATATGTGCCCTGCAATTGTCTGGCAACCGGTTCAGGGTGTACCCTGCCTACTGCCCGAACACTGCTGGGATCGGCTCCAGCACGCCTCACAGCCGTTGTGAGGATAAGCTGATCAGAAAATGGATGGATGGATGGACAATAATAATAATCATAATCATCAAGGCAGGTTGACTGGGTCCCCCAGTCCCACTATAATAGGGTGAAGATAAACGGCAGGTTTCAATGCTATCCAAAGTGTTTGTCCTGCTTTTTATAAAGGACAACGTTAGCAAGCTGAACAAATAATTAGAGTAAGTGGAGCTTAATGTCAAAAGATTTAATGAATGACCCTGTTGAGAACATTTATTTTCAGATAGCCCGCAATAAAGCAACAGAACCGCTTGTTGCTTTTGAAATAAACATCTCAAGATTTGAAGGCCAGTGCTTTACACAACCTTGCAAAGTGCTGCTTTCTAGTGGTGAAACACAAATAATGCAGTCCTTTCGCAGTCAATTGCCTTTCTGAAAATCCTGAGTATGGACAGTATGTGTCAGAAACTAAACTCTTCAATGCCATTACGTTGTCAAGGCAACAACATACATTTATGATCTCAGCTACAGACTTGCTAAGTAAGTTGCAATATTATCTCCTGGTGATGCAGAAATCATAATTCATGCACTTGGTACATCTCGCCGTGATGATTGCAGCGTATTGCGCTCTGGTCTTCCCATGTCCAGTCTCCGAAGGCGTCTCCCTGCAGTGTTTTCATCTTCTTAAATTGACTCTTTTATATCATTCCAACTAACATTGTATCATTCATTCATTGCAGCCTGGTCATCCTGGGAGGGGTATTCTCCCATCTGAGGCCCCTTCTCAAGGTTTCTCATTTTTCCCCCAAATTGATTTTTTGGGCGGTTTTCCTTGCCCTCCTGTGAGTTAAGGTCAGGGGATGTTCATTAACTTTTGTCAGCGGTGGAAATGGAAAGCCCTTTGAGACTGTTTGTGATTAAGGGCTATATACGTAAATAAATGTGACTTAATATATTTGTATTTTGGAAATACGTTTAGATTCTATTTTTTAAAACTCATTTTAACGATTGCATATTATAGCGAGCAACAAGAAAAATTAACGATCTCAACAATTACAAAAGCTTTTAATTAAGAAATCAGGTCGGAATGGGCCTTCTGAAATATATGTTCCTATTTGTTTAATGAATCTCCAAGATATATGAATTTTACATTTTGAACTCAACTCCAATATTGAAATAAATAAACTTTTCAACATTTATTGAAATGCACCTGAATATTCTCACTACAAGACGCTCTATAAGATGATAAAGGCCACGGTGCCAAGGCTCTTCTTATAGACACACATCTCCCCTGAATTCCTTTCTTGTATGTTTTCCTTCTTTTATTTACTTTTTTTTTGTCTTTTCCTCCAAAGGTTGCTGGCTGAGTAAACAACAAATAAGACAGATGCAGTAAATTGTAACCCTTAAAGTCTCGCTGTGACGCAGCTTGGGCTTGCGTTTCTGCGCCTCTCCTAGGTGAAACCCAACACAAGCGCTCTCGAAATGCCAGAGGGCGAGATGCCGTTTGGGGGAACCTTGTGAGTGTCATCGTCTAGATAAATGACAATGTATAGATCTGCCAGGTTGCACGTTACCATGGTGACACCCGAGCACCGCTATGATGAGCACGCAACAGGTCAAGTAAAGGGGAAATAGTTGCAAGTCGTAGCTACAATTCATCACGTGCGTTTTTTTCTGTTTTTTTCTGCTCTCATGCTCCTTTCTGTAACTTGTAAAACTTTTTTACTTATTTTTTCTTTGTCTTTTTTTCTTTCTTTTTTTTTCTATGTAAGGCTTGGAGGTTGAAGACCTTGTTAAAAATGTCCCTAACCACAATACAGTACACACTTTGCAACATTAGCTTGTTCTCCAAATAACAACTTTGTTGAATTCTGTAAACTTTTAAGACACTCATGTAATATGGAACACTCAAACAGGGGAAATAAATGCCAAAACAAAAATGCAAGAACCATCCTTAATGTTTGCAATCATCCATCCATTTTGTACTGCTTATTCGGGGTCGGGTCGCAGGGACAATAGCTTGAGCAGGGAAGCCCAGACACCCCAGCCGCTTGTTCCAGCTCTCGCCAGCATGTCCTGGGTCGTCCCCATGGCCTTCTGCCGGTGGGACATGCCCAGAACACCTCACCGGGGAGGTGTCTAGGAGGCATA